ACATCATCAGAAGCTTGACTAAAATAATGCTTAAATAAAAATCATTTTTAAAATACTTGACAGGTTAGCAAGCTTTAAAATTGGACTGTGGCACTTCCAGATTTGTTAGAACTATGGAGAACTCCTCTTCTTTTTGACATGAAGTTTCCTTTTTAATTGTTGAACACAAATATTGTTGAACACAAAATATTAAACCAATTTTGGCCTCTTAAACTGAGGTCTATTGTTCTTTTTTTTACTATGACAGGGTTGCCATATTCCAGACAAAGTTGTTGAGCTTTATTTCCCCCCCCCCTCTAAAAGTTTTTGGGTTTTTCTTTGAATTTTTAACCTTTTTTAAAAAAAAATGCCCTACTTGCCCTACTTTCGGTTTCCCCCCGACATTTAGACGATACAGCAAAAATCTGCCTGAATTTCTGCAGTCATATTCCCGGATGTGTCTGAGATAACATGCAGGTACGGCAGGAGGTATGGTGTCTATTGTTGAGCTTTTATAAGCAGTTGGCATGATTGGGTAGCTGATGAAGCCCACATGACAGCTAGGGCCACACTGCCAAATTTGGCCCATTGATGTCCTTATTCATCCACTCAGAGGGATAGATGAAAATGCAAGTGTAAGAGCAGCCTCTCCTCTCTTTGCCCTACTCCATCTGAAGCAGCTATTCAAAACAGAGAAGGAAAACAGGAGTGGTGAACACAACCAGGAGCAGGTCTCACTCAGGCTGGACCCACTTAGGGCTGAACTGAAAATGGCCCCTATCAAAATTAATCAGAACTTAGCAGAGTCACAGCCAGGAAACCAGAGCCAGTTTGTCCATACGGTTAGAAGGTTGATGAAGAGCCTGGGAGATAAATTCAAATTCCACGGTAGCATCACTTCCTTTGGACCGGGGCAATAACTCTTCAGTATCTAGTTCAGAAAACCATATAGTAGTATTTGTATCTCCATAGAGAAAAAGTGCAATAAATAAACAGATAAATGAAATAAATGTGATGACCTTGCTGAAGTTCCCAGCACACAATGGTTTCTGTTTAATGGAGAATTTATGCGCGGAGGAGCCTGTCCTCGATGCTCCCAACTTTCCTTCTGCTGTGAGATTTATTGGGAAATACGACCCAGTTCACGATATCAAAGTTGGCAGTCAGCTCCCCATTCTGATCCAGAATACATCCTCCTATGGATGAATTGGAAAGCCAAATTTCTTTCAAGAAAGTGTGAGCTAGAATGGCAGTATTTAGAAAATGGCAGTATTTAGAAAACTATTATCAGGGTTGTGTGTGAGAACTGAAGGCTTTGTGTGCAAACTCCCATAACAGATGAGAGTAAACTAATGTTTATTTTTTAAAAAAATTAATATTTTTATTAAGTTTTATCCATAAAATAATTCAGAAACAAAATACAAAAACAGAAAAATACAAAATCACAAAATACAAAATACAAACATTAAACGCAAAAGGAAAGAAAAAGAGAATGACCCGCTCCCCACTTAAAACGGGGGGGGGGGCCATTTGCTCGGGCGCGTGCAGCCCCTAGATCTAGAGCGGCCCAACAGCATAGGCTTGGCTTTGCCTTCCTCAGGTGGGATACCTGAGGTCTCCGCCTACCTCAGTCAGTTGTCCAATCCCACCTGGGGAAGCGTTGCCAAGGAGACCAGGCCAGGTAGGGGAGGGATGCCACACAATAGAGGGAGGATCTTACCTAGGAATCCTCACTTGAAAAAACAGAAACACATAAAAACAAAACTCCCTCTTTTTTAAATTCTCATCTTTGGTTAACTTATTTTCCTGACTTCCTCACGCCTCCCTTATTTGTATCCCTTTTTAAAAAAAATTGGTTCAGCAAATTCATATCCAATTTAGCTTATCTATTATCAATCCCATCTTACATTTTACCTTATTGCTAGAACCCCTTCAGTTCATTTCAATGTCACCAGCATTCAAAAATTTTACAATGTTTCTGTAAATAAATTTTAAATTTCCTCCAATCTTCTTCCACAAACTCTTCTCCCTGGTCTCAAATTCTGCCAGTCATTTCCGCCATTTCCATGTAGTCTATTAGTTGCATTTGCCATTCTTCCAGGGTGGGTAGGTCTTGTGTCTTCCAGTGCTTTGCAATGAGAATTCTTGCTGCTGCTGTAGCATACATAAAGAAAGTTCTATCCTTCTTTGGCACCAATTGGCCGACAATGCCCAGGAGAAAGGCCTCTGGTTTCTTCAGGAAGGTATATTTAAATACCTTTTTCATTTCATTATATATCATTTCCCAGAAAGCCTTAATCCTTGGGCACGTCCACCAAAGGTGAAAGAATGTGCCTTCAGTTTCTTTACATTTCCAACATTTATTATCGGGCAAATGATATATTTTTGCAAGCTTGACTGGAGTCATGTACCACCTGTACATCATTTTCATAATATTCTCTCTTAAGGCATTACATGCCGTGAATTTAATCCCGGTGGTCCACAACTTCTCCCAGTCAGCAAACATAATATTGTATCCTATATCCTGTGCCCATTTTATCATTGCCGATTTTACCGTTTCTTCCTCAGTATTCCATTTCAGCAGCAGATTGTACATTCTTGATAGTATCTTAGCATTGGGTTCTAACTGTTCTGTTTCTAACTTTGATTTTTCCACCTGGAAACCAATTTTTTTATCCAAGTTATAAACCTCTCTTATTTGAAAATAATGTAACCAGTCTCGCACCTTCTCTTTAAGTTTGTCATAACTCTGCAATTTCAATTTGTCACCTTCCTGTTCTAAAATTTCCCAATATTTTGGCCATTTGGCCTCCATATTAAGTTTTTTCAAAGCTTTCGCTTCCATAGGTGATAGCCACCTTGGGGTTTTACTCTCCAGAAAGTCTTTGTACCTTATCCAGACATTAAACAATGCTTTCCTAACAATATGGTTTTTAAATGCCTTATGTGCTTTTACCTTGCCATACCACAAATATGCATGCCACCCAAATATATTGTCATACCCTTCAAGATCCAAAACATCTGTATTTTCAAGAAGTAGCCATTCCTTCAGCCAGCAAAAAGCTGCTGACTCATAATAAAGTTTAAGGTCTGGCAGGGCAACCCCCCCCTGTCTTTAGCATCAGTAAGTATCTTAAATTTTATTCTGGGCTTTTTGCCCTGCCAGACAAATCTAGATATATCTCTTTGCCACTTCTTGAAACAATCCATCTTGTCAATAATTTGCAATGACTGAAATAAGAATAACATTCTCGGCAATACATTCATCTTAATAACAGCAATTCGACCCAGCAAGGAAAGCTTCAAATTCGACCAAATTTCTAGATCTTTTTTCACTTCTGACCAGCATTTCTCATAGTTATCTTTAAATAGGTTCACATTCTTAGAAGTCATATTCACCCCCAGGTATTTTACCTTCTTTACTAATGTTAAATCCGTCTCTTTCTGAAACCTCTCTCTCTCTCTATCGGTGTCAAATTTTTCTCCAAAACCTTGGTTTTTGATTTATTCAATTTAAAACCTGCCACCTGCCCCAAATCCTGGATTACTTCTAGAGCCCTCTTAGTACTACATGTCGGCTCCTGTAATGTCAAAACAAGGTCATCTGCAAAAGCTTTAAGTTTGTATTGTTTAACTCCGACCTGAATACCTTGAATCAAATGGTCCCTTCTAATCATATTTAGCAAAACCTCCAGAACCGAAATGAAAAGCAATGGGGAAATTGGGCAGCCTTGTCGTGTCCCTTTCTCTATTTTAAACTCTTCTGTGACCACATTATTAACTATCAATTTGGCCTTTTGTTCAGAATAAATCGCACCTTAGACCATTTTCAAAGTTTTGTCCAACCCCCACCCCCTGAAGATTTTTCTTCACAAAACTCCAGGAAATATTGTCAAAGGCTTTCTCCGCATCTACAAATATCAAAGCTGCTTTTGTGTTAATGTTCACCTGCAGTTTTTCTAAAATATTAATTATGTTCCTCATATTGTCCGATAAATGTCTTCCAGGGAGAAAGCCAGCCTGGTCTTTATGTATCACCTCTGCCAGTACTTTTTTCAGCCTTCTGGCCAGAATGTCTGCAAAAATTTTGTAATCCACGTTAAGTAGGGATATGGGGCGATAGTTCTTAAGTTGTGTCTTTTCAGACTCAGTTTTCGGTATAAGTGTGATATAAGCTTCTTTCCACGACTCTGGCGCTCCCCCCCCTCCATAATTTCATTACAAACCTACTTCAATGGTTGAATTAAGTAGTCTTTCAAAGTTCTGTAATACTTGGAGGTTAGTCCATCAGGCCCTGGAGATTTGCCCAGTTGCATATGCTGAATCGCACCTTCCACCTCTTGTTCAGTTATTTTGTAGTTCAATAATGCTTTATTTTCTTGAGAATTTTTTTGTAATCCATTAATTTTCAAAAATTGGTCAATTTTTGTCTCAATCTGCGGCCCTTGTGTATAAAGTTGTTTAAAATATCTCTGGAAGCAGCTTCTAATCTCCTGTGGGTTCTGTATGTTCTTTCCATCCACTTCAAGATTGGTAACTGTGTTTAGCTTTTGTCTCCTCTTCAACTGCCACGCTAACAACTTCCCACATTTGTTAGCTGATTCGAAGGTCTTTTGTCTCATCTGTTTAATTTTCCATTCAATATCCTGATTTATCATTTTCATATATTGTACTTGATATAACTTAATTTCTCTCAAGATCTCTTGTGACTTTGGTTTAGCTCTAAGTTTCTTCTCTCCTTCCCTTATTTTCTCCAGAATCTTAACTTTTTTCTCATTTTGAGTTCTCCTTTTTATTGCATTCTGCTGTATCAAGAACCCTCTCATTACAGCTTTACTTGCATCCCAGATTACTCTTTTTTCCAAAGTGGTCTTCAAATTTATCTCAAAATAGTCTTTCATAATTTTTTGGGCCTTCCTAATAATTTCTGAATCTCTAAACAAGGTGTCATTCATCCTCCATCTGAAGGAACCAGTCAGTGTTGACTTCATTTCCATTTTCACAGGATTATGGTCGGAGCAAGTTTTAGGGCAAATTTCCACTTTTCAAGAGTAAACTATGTTTAAACAAAATAATTGCAGGATGTTTCCTGGGCATATGATTGAGCAAAGCTTTTCATGAAGTTGGATATTTTGTGGGATGTATTGTTTTCCTTTAATAATTGAGGAAAGTTCCAGATACCTTACTAATTTGTAGAGAATTGAGGACATTGAGACAGATGCCTTGTGTCAGTTATAGGTGATGAGCTTTTGGTCATTACAACAGGTCCTATATCAGTTATAAATCCTTGGGGGATATGACTCAAATAAACATATATTGAGGACATGTCCTTTATATGTAGAACTGTAGAAAGCTTGCATGCATTTTAATTGGCTTTAATCTATCATACTGTTATTTCAACTTTCTATATGTTTCAAATAAGGGTTTTAAGTTCTTTAGTGATAATTTTTTATTTTAACTTTTTCTGTAAAGTGCTTTGAGGTTTTTTCCAGCAGTCAAGCAGTATATAAATGTTATGAAGTAAATATAGTAATTAATTTATTAAGCTTTATGTGAGAGAATGCTCCTTAACAATTTTTTCCATACCTTATTTTATGTTTTGAAGGATTTCCCCCCTAATTTTTCCTAAATTATCTATTTTAATAAAGATTTTAATTAATTTTCAAATGATTTTCAAATTAATATTGTACAACCACAAAAATAGATGAACAATAATAAAAACTTCTTAATATGTCCTACTAAAGTAAAGACAGTGCCTAGGAAACCTAAACATATTTAACAATTACAACTGGATAAATTTCAAAGAATATAGAATCTGAAAAGCATTCCAGAGATGGACAACGTATTTGCAAAAAAGGGGAGAGGACAGACCTGCCATGGCTGCAGCCTTTGAAGTTCCAATCTGTCTCCTTCACCCACCATTAACCTCCATTTGGATCTGGATGAATATGCAGCATTTAGGGCCTGAGCCACAAACTGGACGCCGTAGTAAGTGCTGTAGCGGTCTTCAGACCAGATTGCCTCCATCTCCTCCTGGGACAAAGTCTCCCGTTGTTCCTTTTCTGTGCATCTTGTCCAACCCTCCGTGGACAGCACATTGTTTGAACATGTACAACTGAATGCTCTTGACCAAAACTCTGCAGCTACAGCTATAGCTTCAAATGAAAGTCGAGTATAGTAGCCATGTTCTGTCCGTTTTTTGGTATTCATTACAAAGGACAAAGAACCTTGGGCAGGCTGGAAGTAATCTTTGCCACCAAACAACATCTCATCAATGTCCAGAAGATCTGTTGTGATCCAGAGTATCCCCTGAGATTTCCCCACTTCCTGAATTCTTTGTAACAGTACGATTGGATAAATTCTGTGTTCAGAGTCCCCATAATAAACAAACACCTTAACTTGTCTCAAAACAGATAGTTTAAAATGTAAGGAGGACAGGGTCAACATCTGAATTTTTTCCAAGAAAGCAGCACAAATCCCACTGCGGATCAGCAGAAGGGTGAAAACACTCAGGAACCTTTCTCCATTGTCGTTGTCTGGAACAAAGAGACCGATCCACGTCCACCCGAAATGTAGCAACAACTTGACAATCCCCACGTGCTGGGTTTCTTCTTTGGGGATCATCCGGTAGATAAAAGGGAACTGAGTTTTGTCATTCAGATCATGAGCAGCAGAGCCAAAACTGATCTAGTAAGAATAGGATTGGTGTCATGTTTTCAGAAATACACACGAAGGGCCCCATCACATGATCAGGCCAAAGGCTCATCTAACCAGATGTTAACCAGGTGCTTATAGGATGCATGCCATGCCTTTGATGGAGTTTACAGAGAAGGAAGTGGCTCCAATGGACCCTGGGGCAGAGCAGGGCATCTGGGCCTTGTGGGGTCATGGCACATCAACCTCTTTCTAGAGTCACAATGTGCCACTACACAGAATGAGAGGCAGAAGCTAAGCAGCTGCACAGTCTGAAGGAGTGTAAGCACCTAAACCTCTGTGTTCATTTAGCTGCCAGACAGCCACTGGTCTTCCTGAGAAACAAGAACTCATTAGGAACCAGGGGCTACTGTCAACTACATCTTCGTATTGACAAACTGGGGAGGGAGACAGGAAGAAGCTGAGGGTTTTCTAAATTGTTTTCCACATTCTTAAAATGTGATTCCCCGCCCCCTTTGGTCTCTCTTTTTGGGTGCTTTTCTTTTGTGTTCCCTGGAAAATTTGGCCCTTAGGATATTGCTGAAGTACATCTCCCACAAACATGGCTACAAAGAATAGTTGTCTTTGTAGTTTAGAAACTTCTTGGGGCATGAAGGGGTTCCTCACCACTGCTGGAGAGATAGCAAAGAGGACTGAAACATAATTGATTTCTTCCCTTCCATTTCCTACCTGGGGCATTTTGTAGATGCCTAACATGCTTGAAATCTGGCTGGGGATTTCAGAAGAAGTTGCTTCAAAAACAGCCAACACATTATTCTTTCTTCCACAGCTGTAGTTTGGAATACTGTCTAGCATGGCATCGGCAGTTGTCCTGACATCAAAAGCAGCCTCATAGATGCTATAGCCCAGGGTGACATTGGCTAAATGCTTAAGATGCCGGGTGATCTCTTGGGTTGCAAACAAGATGGAGAGGACTGCTGAGGTGTCCTTTGCTGACCAACTGCAAATAAATGAATACACAAAAAATCATTTTAGCCTTCCATTCTCCATTAAAGATAACAACTTGCAACACTCCCTGTTCTACAAAAACATAAGAAGTGCCTGCTGGTTTTATATCTAACGGGCCAAACTCTGCAGCTAGGAAGGAGCAGAATCTTGCCCAGATCCACCAAGAAAGAAAGGAGTAGCATTTAGGAGAGCTTGATCTGGGGTGAATTAGATTGAAATGATCACTTAGAGTTTCTTAAGTGCAGAGACTTGTTGGGAACTCTTTAGAGGATGAGAAGATATGAAAGAGAGAAATGCGCTCTCTTGGGCTACCCACCTTAAATTCTGAGTCTGGTGGAACTACCTAGTAAGATTCCTATACTGATTTGAACGTCCCAGAGAGTTTGAAGGGAAGGAGGTGGTATCCTTACATTCTGATTTTTACACTTTCTTTTATCCCCAAATGCAAGATTGCACAGTGCATTTAATACTTACTTAAGATACAATGTAACCCAAATACACCCAAGACCACCTGGGACTTTTAAGTTAGACAGTTCTCTTTGGAATACAGGAATAGGGGAAGCTGTCAAAGGCATTCTATACTTGACTAGGTAGAAACACACTTTTTGCATAAGAATACAAAATGAGACATGAGATGATCAACTGTGCTTTGTATTAATGAAACTCCAAAATAGTGAAACGGTTCAGAATTAGCCTCTCTGTTAGCAGGATGCCAAGGGGTCACTAGGTACTTTGTTGCTGATTCTCAATCCCCAAATCTTCTTCCAAAGGCAGTAGAGGGCCAAAGGAGAGAGAAGGTTTTTTATCAGGGATGGCCAGATATTAAATGGTGTCTCTGACAAACAGCCATAAATGTGAATGAAGGCTGGGTAACATAAAGTCACTTACGTCATAACAGTGTTTTTGGGAGGGATAGAGAACTTGAATGGGTAAGTTCTATAAGCTCTTGGAAATATGACCCCACTAATGAGGTGGTCTCCTGGCCTGAAATAATTCAGCGGATCACTTTCCTCATTTAGGTTCAATGGGCATTTGGCTTTCAGCATCCCACAGGCTCCATGGGGCATAAGCAGCACAAATAGCAGCAGCACTAATATCATCCTGGCTATGCCTGCAAGAGTCATACACTCTTGTGACAGCAGTCACATTAGAAGCACAGCTGGACTCCTACAGTAGCTTCAGAAGCAGAGGTAGAAAAAGGAAGCCTCCCACAGAAACAAGCCCTGCCAGCCCCAAATCTCTCAGGCCTGGCTTCTGATATTTATGACCCAGTTCTTCTTTCAGGCTTTTGACAAAAAGGTATATCCTTCTGCCTCTGATGTTTATGTTATTTGTGGACTCCAAGGCCACCATTGGAGAAATCCCTGGAGTAAGTAAATTATCATAATTTTTATATTTATCAAGTTAAAAATGTCCACCTGCTCTGCAAGTCCCTTGAATCGGTGTGTGACTCAATGGGCAGCTGCAGAGCCAAAGCAAAACATGTTTGTGAGAACGCAAAGATGGGACTCTCAATCTGGGCCCTGCTAAACTTGAGGAAACATTAACTTCAGTAAAGTCCAATAAACTACAGAATAGCTATGATGGACCAAGACCAGCAAGGCAGGACTTGTTAGACATTTATAAATTCCTGCATGGTGTGGATAATATGGACAGCAAAAATTTTCCTCCCTCCCAGTAATAATACTAGAAGTTTGGACTTTAGACGGGAATTTAAACCCTTGTGTCCTAGGCTCCTGTCCAACTCCCTGATCACTACACCACACTGCCTCAGAACTATAGATTCATTGGCATCCAGTGGAGGTCTCGAACACAGAGATAAGCCATGAGATACTCACTTGAGCTAATAGAAGTTCGGGTTCATGAGACAACACAACCAGCTGATTGGCCCATTGGCTTTATACAGTAGCAATAAGATATGGCCTTAGCTTAGTAATATACAGGTATGTAGTAACAGCCAACTAGAGATTCAATTCTAATTCAATTCAGCTTCCAATGACGCTGAGTGTTGGAAGAGTCAGAACAGAGAAATCTGTTATAGACCTTGAAGATTGCTCCTTCCCTGGAAGAATTTCAATCATACACAGTTGGGCTGAGGAAGGCTATTAACATAAATGCTATCTGTAGAGTCCAGTATGTAAAAATCCATTATACATTCAAGAACAGTGTGTTTTACTGCAGGTGTTAGTGGAGTTTGGGGCAGATTCTTGAAGATGTGGAACCTTCTGAAGTGACTCTCACTGCTTGCGAATGAGGCCTTCAGCTGTTGAGGTTCTATTGCTCTTTGAACCACTGTGGAAATTGTTTTTTGTAAGAACTCACTGATGGGCTGTGTATGTGTAAAAGTTTCCTGTGAAGTCAATAGTGCAATCCTAGCATCTCTACTTAGTATTCCCATTCAGTTTTGTGGGGCCTCCTCCCAAGTAAGCGGCTATTTGATTGCAGCCAAAAAGGGTTGGGAGGACATTCCTTCGGATGTCCTTGCCGCTCACAAAACAACTCATATGAAATGGAAAAGACTGAAGGATCATCAGATGTTCTGGATGATCCTGCTGGATGAACCTGGTGTTCTATTTCTGAAGGATCTTCTGATGGGACTGTAACGCTTGCAATAGAACTGACGAATCGTAGAGTTGGAAGGGCCCCTGAGGATCATGTGGTATAAACTTCTGCAACGCAGGAATATGCAGCTGATGAGCTTGTTAGGCGCCGAAGTCCAAAGTGGTCTTTGAAACATAAATAACCTACGTTTATGAGCACCTGTTATTCCTAATAAGTGGACTTATTCAGCAGCTGTTTCATCAGGGTAAAGGAGGGATGAGACTACATGTCTCTCCTGAGAGACTTGGAATGGGTGCCTGAACTTGCTGTTCCCCTTTTCCCTCCCAGACCACTTTTGTGTTGTGTCTCTTAGATTGTGAGCTGAGGGCAGGGATCTGCCTTCTCGATATTTGTGAGTCAATCTTGGGAGCTTACTTGTGTAGCAGGACTAAAAAAGCCAATAATGATTAAGCATGCATATATATTTATAAACCTCTCTTTTAAACTTTTTTTAAAAAGTGTTGTGAAAACCTTTCTGTTGCCTTACTGTATCTAACATCGGGTTCGCGTCTCCGCTCCTCCACCTGCAGCTGCTGGGTGACCTTGGGCCAGTCACACTTCTCTGAAGTCTCTCAGCCCCACTCACCTCACAGAGTGTTTGTTGTGGGGGAGGAAGGGAAAGGAGAATGTTAGCCGCTTTGAGACTCCTTAAAGGGAGTGAAAGGCGGGATATCAAATCCAAACTCTTCTTCTTCTAACATATTAAGTGTTTTAGGTTGCATTGCCCATTTCTCCTGGGGAAAGACCTTCTTGAGATAAATTCTCTCACCCCCTAAGTGCAGACAGGAGACAGTGGTCCTTTTCCATACATGCAGGAGCATAAATAGCTGTGTGTATGTGTGTGAGAGAGAGATAAGTGTATATTCTGGGAGGGCATAGCTAATTGTATATAATATTTTTTATTAATTTTCAATTACAATACAGCGGTACCTCAGATTACATACACCTCAGGTTGCACACACTTCAGGTTACAGACTCCGCTAACCCAGAAATAGTACCTCAGGTTAAGAACTTTGCTTCAGGATGAGAACAGAAATCATGCTCTGGCGGCGCGGCGGCAGCGGGAGGCCCCATTAGCTAAAGTGGTGCTTCAGGTTAAGAACAGTTTCAGGTAAAGAACAGACCTCCAGAATGAATTAAGTACTTAACCCGAGGTACCACTGTAATCCAATGACAATCACATCATCACAAACCAAATTATACCACTAAAATGGAGCCAATTATTCAAATGCCAAATGAAACATATTTAGGTGACTTCCCGTGTCTGGACTTCTGGGTGCGATGATCTTAATTAGGGCTTTAAAGGTCAGCACCAACACTTTGAATTGTGCTCGGAAACGTACTGGGAGCCAGTGAAGTTCCTTTAGAATCACTGTTTTATGCACCTGGTGGAGATAACCAGAGCATGCACCACTCTGGTGAACAGTTTGTGGGCAGGTAGGATCGTAGCTGGCATACCATATGGAGCTGGTAGACAGAGTTAACCTGTGCCTCTATGGACACCTGTGAGTCCAAAATGACTCACCTGAGCACCAGGTCCTTCAGGGGCACGGTTGCCCCATTCAAGACCAGGAGGTCCCCCATGCCCACCCCCATCTCCCAAAAACAGTACTTCTGTCTTGTCAGGATTCAACTTCATGGGGGCTGTGGTATCTTTTACCAAAGGTTACAGTTGTCTAGAGAGCAAAAATGAATTAGATGGATGAAACAATAATATAGGGGCACAGCAGAACATGGACTATATACATGCTGAAGGCCTTGGGTTCAATTCCTGACATCTGCAAATCATCCTGAAATCTTTGGGGCAGGAGCAAGACTGCAAGAAACCTTTAATTGCCTTTATACTTTCCTAGGCAACCAGCCAAAAGCTGCTAACAGCATTTTGACACCAGACTCGGTTCCACTTGAACAATGTGGTATATTATGTGAAGCTAAGAATCATCAAAGAAGCTAAGAATCAGACACCACCACCTTCACTTTTTGTAGTTAGATGTTCCTTTGTGTTCAGATCAGGCCTGAGTATGATAATGTAGCACTTCGGTAGGAAGATGCAGCCCAGAAGCCCAGTACTGGAGGCCAACATAGAGAAGACCTGCACAGCTACCATGAACTTCCCTTTTGTGCTTAGGTAGGTGGGCACAAAGGACACCCAAACACTGCAGAAGACCAGCATGCTGAAGGTGATCAGCTTGGCTTCATTGAAGGCCCCAGGCAGCTTCCTCGCTAGGAAAGCCACCGTGAAGCAGATGGCAGCCAGGAAACCCATGTAGCCAAGGACAGTGTAGAACATGGCAACAGATCCTTCATTGCATAGAAGGATGATCTCTGCAGCTTGGGAGTGCATGTCGGAGTCTGGGAAGGGTGGGGAGAATCCAAGCCAGATGGTGCAGATGACAACCTGCATACTGGAACAGGAAAGGACAATGGAGTTGGCTAGACTCTTCCCCAGCCATCTCCTCACCTTGTTCCCTGGCTTTGTGGCCAAGAAGGCCAGCACCACAGTGATGGTTTTTGCCAAAACAGAAGAGACGGCAACCGAGAAGATGATGCTGAAGGCTGTTTGTCGGAGGAGGCAGGTCACTTTGCTTGGCCGGCCGATGAATAGGAAGGAGGACAAAAAGGAAAGCAGGAGGGAGCTGAGGAGGATATAGGATAAGTCTCGATTGTTAGCTTTGACTATGGGAGTTTCCATGTCTTTAACGAAGATTCCTAGGACAACACCAGTGATTAAGCACAAGAAGAGAGCAAAGGAAACCAGGACAATCCCCAAGGGTTCTTCATAAGTGAGAAATGTTATAATCTTGGGGACACATTTGTCTCTTGCTTGATTTGCATGCTGATCTTCTGGGCATTTGGTGCAATGCTTTGCATCTGAAGAGAAGAAGAATGACTTCAGAATTACTAACAAAATTCTTACATCCATACCTGTTTGTGTTCCAATACAATGGGATAATACAACAAAGTGGGAAAGGTCAGGAAATCAGAGCGGGACTGTTGGGATACTGCCAGGGAGACAAAGTCCATCATGGCCCCAAGCCGTCTGCCGGACGATCCATCGATCTCCCGTAGGCATGCAGTATCAGCAATTAGCGACATGAGTTTCTAGAAACTATCTCGCCACATTCTAGAGCTTCTGTACACTCTATCAGCAGATAATGCACAGCAAAAGTCGCACTCAGGAGAGCATTATTTACAAGTTTTATTCAGCGTTGATCAGAACAAAGAAAGACATGACTGCCTGCGTCAGTGTCTCCAGCACAGAGAGAAAACGAAAGCAATAGAAAACATAAACTTCCTGTGAACAGGAAATACGCAGACTCTGTGACTCACAGCCTGCTCCCTTTTAAGGTGGAACAGAAATATCCTAACAGGGACAACATTTCCCTGGCTTTTGACAGGATTTGCTTGAATAGTACTATATCCAGCACAGAATTAAAATGGCATTCTTAAGCCATTTTTGAACATTTTAGTCTGATGTAGGCATCATGTAGGCATCATCAGATTTGCTTCCATTTTGGAGAAACAGAACAGATTACAGAGTGTTCTCCTTCTATAAGGAAAGTTTGCACATGTTTTGATTTGACTTAATTCATTCATTCATTTATCCTTCCAATTCTAGGCTACTTAACATGAAAAGTGGTGCACAGAAAACTAAAGCAACAGCTGACAACTTAAGCAATAATCAGTTGTGTATAAAAATGTTACAATAATGCAAGATTAGTAAAGGTAAAGGGACCCCTGACCATTAGGTCCAGTCATGACCGACTCTGGGGTTGCGCGCTTTACTGGCCGAGGGAGCCGACGTTTGTCTGCAGACAGCTTCCGGGTCATGTGGCCAGCATGACAAAGCCACTTCTGGTGAACCAGAGCAGCGCATGGAAACGCCGTTTACCTTCCCGCTGGAGCGGTACCTATTTATCTACTTGCACTTTGACGTGCTTTCGAACTGCTAGGTTGGCAGGAGCAGGGACCGAGCAATGGGAGCTCACCCCAACCCGGGGATTCGAACCGCCGACTTTCCGATTGGCAAGTCCTAGGCTCTGTGGTTCAACCCACAGCACCACCCGCGTCCCAAATACAAGATTACTTATATATATAAATGAGTATCCGCTCCCTATCCTTCTGACACACTTCCCCTCTCAAAGTCCGTGCTCTCACTGAAATCCCAAACAACCACACAGCTCTTCCGCAAAAATCTGGCAAAGAGGAAGGTTCCTACAAACTGCTGATCTCACCCTGGTTTTTCACTCTAGGTTTACTTTTTTATGAGCAGGCCCCATGGTGGATGAAGCAGCATCCTCAGGCTGCCCACAGCTGTATCCCATAGAGCACTCAGTCACCCACCTTCCTGAATGGAGATGGTCCCTTCCGCACAAGGAGCACAATCATAGCAGCAAACGGGCTCTCCTTCCTTAGCCACTCTGGCATATCCAGGGCGACAGCTTTCGGTGCATCTTGAACGAGGCACGACCTAAAAACAAGGAGAGGGAGCATCAACAGAGATCAGCATAAATTGCAGACATCAAATAATAATCTTTTTTAGAATTCTGAGGCCAGGTTAGAAAGCTTAAAAATAGGAATTTTGTTGATCTGTGCAGAAATCGCCTTGTTTCTGACATAAAGTTTCATCTTTAAAAAGCATAATGGGATGTAGAAAAGGTTAACTAATTAAACTCTCTATTTCCTTTTATTGCTTCTGTTTGATATTATGATATGTGTTTCTGTGTTTTTATAAGCAGTCGGCATTACTGGGCAGCTGTTAAAGCCCACATGGCAGCTATGGCCCCACTGTCAACTTTGGGCCCATTGATGAATTTTCATCTCCCCCTCTGAGTGGATAAACAAGGAAAAGTGTAAAGACAACCTCTCCTCTCTTTGCCCCTCTCCAACTGAATTGCTATGCAAAACAAAGAGGACAAGGAAAACAGCAGTGATGCAGGGAAGTGGCGATCACCCTGGTAAGAGCCATTTTAGGGTTATCCGAACTTAGCAGATGTCACCACAAGGGAACTGCAGCCAGTGTGGTGGAGTGGTTAAAGGGATGGACAAGAACCCAGGTGACTAAGGTTCCAATTCCCACGCAGCCATGAACCTTCCTGGGTGACCTTGGGCCGTTCACTTCCTCTCAATCTGTCCTACTTCACAGGGTTGTTGAGGGGATAAAATGAAGAGGCAGGAAACCATATATAGCATGTTGAGATCCATAGAGAAAATGTGGCATATGTCAGGTATAACGGCGTTTCAGAAGTTCAGAAGCCACTGAAGCTTACAGAAGCCATAGAAGCTTATAGATGCTAACAGAAGTGTTCCGGAATCTTCCAGTGTGTCTGGAAGATTTCCAAGGTTCCAAGGTTTCCATAGAAATAGACATGGGCATGAATTCTGAAAGGATATAAATGCAATAAATAAATAATTGCAATAACCTTGCTGAATTTCCCAGGCCACAAAATGGCTTCTGGATTAATGGTTAATTTTATGTCAGAGGAGGGGTGTTTCTTGATGCTCCCAACTTTCATTCTGCTGTTAGAGCCATTGCGAAACACGACTGAGTTCATGATATCAAAGTTGGCAGTCAGCTCCCCATTCTTATCAAAATACATCCCTCCTATGGATGAATTGGAAAGCTGGATTTCTTTTAAGAAAGTGTGAAGCTGGAATGGCAGAGAAAACACCAGCATTTAGAAAACATGATACGAGGGTTGCGTGTGGCAACTACAGGCTTGGGTGCAAGCTCCATTGCAGATGATAGTAAAATATATAATTGCAAAACAATTGCAGGATGTTTCCTGGGCATTTGATTTATTAAATCCTTTTCCGAAGTAAAATATTTTGTAGGACATGGTCTTGTTTTTCTTTGATAATTGAGAAATGTTCCAGACATCTTACCAATTTGAACTGAACTCCTATCAGCCATATTTATGACATTTGGGTCATTATAACAGGTCCTTTATGAGGTTTTAAATCCTCTTGGGGATAAGACTGAAATAAAGATACTGTATGTTGAGGACATGGCCGGGAAAACTCATTGGAACTCTAGAAAGCTTGCATGCATTTTGATCTGCTTTAATCTATCCTATTGTGATTTCTTACAAATAGTGAGGCCTTACAAATAGTGGGGGAGAGAAGGCAAGCAAAATGCGAGGGAGATAGTGAAAGATACAGGAAATTGAATGCAGATTTCCGAAAAATAGCAAGGAGAGACAAGAGGGCCTTCTTAAACAAGTAATGCAAAGAAATAGAGGAAAACAATAGAATGGGAAAAAGCAGAGATCTGTTCAAGGAAATTGGAGATATGAAAGGAACATTTTGTACAAATGTGCTCTGGTCCATGGGGTCACAAAGAATCGGACACGACTAAACAACTAAACAACAACAACAATTGTGATTTCAACTTTCTATATCTTTCAAATTTCTTTGTGAGAATTTTATTGCTTTAACTTTTTTTTGTAAACTATTTTGAGGTTTTTTCAGCAGTCAGGCGATATATACATTTTATGAAATAATTATATTAAATATCAATGTGAGAGAATGCTCCTTAACAATTTATTATACCCTATTTTGTGAAGGACAGGACATACAACCACAATGAGATAAACTATAAAAGATATAGACTCCAAAAAGAATTCCAATGACGGAAAACAGATGGCAAAAAGGGGAGAGGACAGACCTGCCATGGCTGCAGCCTTTGACGTTCCAATCTGTCTCCTCCACCCACCATTAGCATCCATTTTGATCTGGATGAATATGCAGCATTTAAAGCCTGAGCCACAAGTTGGACACCGTAGTAAATGCTGTAACGATCTTGAGACCAGATTCCCTCAACCGCTTTCTGGGGCAAAGTTTCCAGCTGTTCCTTTTCTGTGCATCTTGTCCAACCCTCCATAGACAACACGTCATTTGAACATGAACAATTGAATGTTCTCTGCCAAACCTGTGCAACTATAACTTTAGATTCAGAAGACAGTCGAGTATTGTAGCCATGTTCTGTCCTTTTCTTGGTATTCATTATAAAGGATAGAGAACCATGGGCAGGCTGGAAGGAAGCCACATCACCAAACAACCTCTCATCAACACTCGGAATGTCTGTTGTGATCCAGACTATCCCCTGAGATTTCCTCAATTCATGAATGTTCTGTAAGTAGATGATCACATAAACTCCATATTCAGAGTCCCCATAGTAAATGAACACCTTGACTTGTTTCAGGACAGAAGGTTTACAATGTAAGGATGACATCTCCATAATGAAAAAAGGGATTTTTTCCAAGAAAGCCACACAAATCCCACTGCGAATCAGCAGAGGTGTGAAAACACTCAGGAACTTTTCTCCATTGTCATTGTCTGGAACAAAGAGACCAACCCATGTCCACCTAAAATGGAGCAGCAACTTGACAATCCCCATGTACTGGGTTTCTTCTTTGGGGACCATCCGGTAGACAAAAGGGAAATGGGTTTTCTCATTCAGATCCTGAGCAGCAGAGCCAAAACTGATCTAGTAAGAAAAGGATTGGTGTCAAGTTTTCAGGAATACACAAGCAGGGCCCCGCTGCATGATCAGGCCAAAGGCCCATCTTCTCACAGTAGCTAACCAGATGCTTCTGGATGTATGCCATGTCTTTGATGGAGGAATCCTGTTCAGAAGAAGACCTGGAGCTTACAGAGAAGTAAGTGGCTCTAATGGACACTGCGGCAGAGCAGGGCAATACAAAATAAGGAATACAAAATAAGGGCCCTGTCACATGATCAGGCCAATGCTCATGTGACATCTAATCCAGCACCCTGTTCTCACAGTGGCTAACCAGTTGGTTCTGGGAAGCATTTCATGCCTCTGGTGGAGAATCTGGAGCTCACAGAGAAGGAAGTGGCTCCAATGAATATTGAGGCAGAATAGGGCATCTGGGGCTTTCAGGGGTCATGGCATTCCAACCTCTTCTTAGAATCACAATGGGCCACTTCAAAGAATGAGAGTCTGCAGGACTGCAGGCCCCTTAACCTCCATGCTCAGTTAGTTTCTGGACAGCCACTGGTCTGCCTGTGAAAATAAAATCCTGGGGAGCAAGGGCTACAGTGGTACCTTGGGTTACATAAGCTTCAGGTTACAGACTCTGCTAACCCAGAAATAGTACCTCGGGTTAAGAACTTTGCTTCAGGATGAGAACAGAAATCGTGCGGCTGTAGCAGGAGTGGTAGCTAAAGTGGTGTTTCAGGTTAAGAACAGTTTCAGGTTAAGAACAGACCTCCAGAACGAATTAAGTTCTTAACCTGAGGTACCAACGTATGTTGAACTATGATGCTAGTTTTTCCTACCCAGTCTGATGAGGTGAGAGAAAGAGACTCAGGGCTTTCCAAATCAGTTCCCACTTTCTTAAAATGTGACATTCTTTCTATGATCTGTCTTTTTGGGTGCTTGTGATTTCTGTTCCCTGGAGATCAGGGATGGGGAAAATTTGGTCCTCAGGATGTTGCTGAACTACATCTCCCATCAGTCCCCACAAGCATGGCAAATGGCCAGGAATGGTTGGCTTTGTAGTTCAGAAACCTCTGGAGGGGTGGAGGGGTTTCTCAACACTGGTGGAGATATAGAAAAGAGGAAGAAAACATAGCTGGTCTCCAATCCCCTCCAAAGTCCTACCTGGGGCATTTTGTAGATGCCCAACATGCTTGAAATCTGGCTGGCAATTTCAGAAGTAGCTGCTTCAAAAACTGCCATAACATTACTCTGTCTTCCACAGCTGTGGCTTGAAATGCTGTCTAGTAGAGCATCAGCTGTTGTTCCGACATCAAAAGCGGCCTCATAGATGCTGTAGCCCAGGGTGGCATTGGGTAAAAGCTTAGGATTCTGGTTGATCTCTTGGATGGCAAATAAGGGGGACAGAGTGGGACAGGGGTTCTCTGATGTTAAACTGCAAATGAATAAACAATGAATAAATGATTAAAAATGAATAAAAAATGAATAAATGAATAAATAAACATTTGTTTCAGCTGTCTGCTTACCATTTAATGAAGACAACATGTCATACTCATTGTTCTATAAGAACCTAAGAAGAATCTACTAGTCTTATATCTAACGGGCCAAGCTTTGAAGGAGTACAATCTTGTCCAGGTGCTCCAACAAGGAAATGAATATTTTTTGAGGCGAGCTTGCAGCTTGGGTGAATTTGATTGGATGATAACTTACAGTTTCTGGAGCTTAGAGACTTGACAGGAACTATTTACAGGATGAGAAGGAACAAAAGAGAGAAATAGCAGACATTTTGTCCGCAGAGGACAGGAATCCAAATCTCTGAGAGTGGTGGGCCGAGTTAAGATACACATAGTGGTATCTGAAGAAGTGTGCATGCACACAAAAGCTTATATCCAGAACAAACTTAGTTGGTCTATAAGGTGCTACTGGACAATTTTTTTAATTTTGACTGTGTCAGGCCAGCACAGCTATCTACCTGAATCTAGAATAGTGGCTACAAACAACCCCAGGCTAGGTTGCTAGACAAGCCGTGGCCTTGTGTGGTTTCAAGTAGCCCATGAATTAACTAGAAGCGCAGAAGGAGGAAATGTGTTTGCTCTTTTCCAACAGTAAAGGTAAAGGGACCCCTGACAGTTAAGTCCAGTCGCGAACGACTCTGGGGTTGCAGTGCTCATCTCACTTTACAGGCCAAGGGAGCCAGCGTTTGTCCGCAGAGTTTTTCCAGTTCATGTGGCCAGCATGACTAAGCTGCTTCTGGTGAACCAGAGCAGCGCACAGAAACGCAGTTTACCTTCCTGCCGGAGCAGTACCTATTTATCTACTTGCACTTTTTGGGGTGCTTTCGAACTGCTAGGTTGGCAGGAGCTGGGACAGAGCAACGGGAGCTCATCCCATCGCGGGGATTCGAACCACCAACCTTTTGATCTGTAAGCCCAAGGCTCAGTGCTTTAGACCACAGCGCCACCCACGTTCCAACAGTAGCAACATTAAATCACAGCTGATGAGTAGCACTTGTTCCAAAACTCAACAGGACTTGTTAAGTTGTTCCAACAATATCCCCTACCCACTTACCTAGCTTTTAAGGAGAGGCAGAGGAATCTCAGTTGCTTGCAAGTTATTCTCTTTCTCCCCCTGCAGGAATTCCCTGACTGAAGATGTCAAACCTCTTCGGGGTTGGAGTGAGTCCCCTCTCTTTTCTTGATGCACTGCTCTTCCCCAGAATGCATCATTGGGCATGGCTCCCAAATTATTGCATTCTGTCCCAGCAGATTGTGAGAGTTTTACACCTCAGGGGTGCTTCCACAAGCTGGAAATGCTGCCTAGGAACTCTGCTGAAGTTATGAGTATTTAGCTTAAGTAACTATGAACCCAGGGACGCAGGTGGCGCTGTGGGTAAAAGCCTCAGCGCCTAGGGCTTGCCGATCGACAGGTCGGCAGTTCGAATCCCCGCGGCGGGGTGCGCTCCCGCTGCTCGGTTCAGCGCCTGCCCACCTAGCAGTTCGAAAGCACCCCCGGGTGCAAGTAGATAAATAGGGACCGCTTACCAGCGGGAAGGTAAATGGCGTTTCCGTGTGCTGCGCTGGCTCGCCAGAGTAGCTTCGTCACACTGGCCACGTGACCCGGAAGTGTCTGCGGACGGCGCCGGCTCCCGGCCTATAGAGTGAGATGAGCGCACAACCCTAGAGTCTGGCAAGACTGGCCCGTACGGGCAGGGGTACCTTTACCTTTACCTTAACTATGAACCCTAAAATTTGGGATTCCCTCGAAACCGGTGCTAAATTTTGCAGTCAGTTTGCAAAGGTTTGCAGTGAAAATCCTACATTTGGAATCACCCCACGAACCGAGTAATTGATACATCAAACCAAGATTTCTAAACCCAAAAACTGAAGCCCCAAAAGGAAAAGGGTTCAGAATTAACCTCCCTGTTTGCAAAATACAAAGGAGTCAGTGTGAATTTAAATCCCCAAACCTTCTTTTTAAGTCAATAGATGGGCAAAGGAGGGTTTATCAGGGATTGCCAGAAATCAGTTGCTGTCTGGCAAATACAGTAGCAGTGATTGCGAACGCAAGGTGGGTAACATAAATCACTTACCTCATAACATGGTTTCTGGGGCCCTGGGAAAAGTCAGGTGGGTTAATATGAACTCGTCCTTGATTTATGACTCCACCAATAAGGTGGTCTCCTGGCCTGAAATAATTCAATGGATCGTGATCCTTTTCCATATTTAATGGACATTTTGCTTTCAGCATCGCACTGACTCCATGGGGAATAAGCAGCAGAAATAACAGCAGCCCTAATACCATCCTGGCTATGCCTCCAAGAGTCACACACTCTTCTGACAGCAGTGACATTAGGAGCGCAGCTGGACTCATACAGTAGCTTCAAGCAAAGGTACAAAGAGGAAAACTCCCACAGAAAGGATCCCTGCCTGCCCCAAATCTCTCAGTCCACGTTTCAGATATTTATAACAGTTCTTTTTGTACAGTAGGTTTGTGACAATATGTGAGCTCATCCTGACTATGATGCCGATGTTTATGTTATTTTTGGACTCAAAGGACATCGTTGGGCAAATCTCTGGACTAGATAAATAAATCACTATGATTTTGATAATTATAAGGTTAAGAAGGTCCACCTCCCTGGCATCTGTGTGTCACTCAATGGGCAGGGGCAGAGCGAGAGCAAAGCATGTTAGTTAGAACTCACAGATGGGGCTGTCTGTCTGGGCCCTGCTAAACCTGAGGGGACATCAACTTCAGTAAAGTTCAGGAAATTATAGAACAGTTATGATTGATAAAGAGGAGCAAGGCAGGACATGATTGAAGTTTACTGTATAAACTCCTGTATAGTGTGGATTATACGGATAACAAAAAGTCCCCCCCTCACCAATAAAGCTAGAAGTTTGTACCAGTGGAACCTCAATCTTGGTGTCCTTGGCCTTCATGCAAGACCCTGGGACATCTGCTTGGCTGCTGTGAAAGAAGGTAGCTGCAGTAGAGGAGGCTTAGATCTGATACAAACTGTAAACAGATCAAGACATTGGCAGGATTATTGTAAAAACTTGCAGTTTTAAACCTGCAGTCCTGCTTGTGGCTTCCCACTGTGGCCCCTGATTGGTGGCTGTTAGAGAATGTAGCTGCACTAGAGGAGTCCTAGGTCTGATACAAACTGTACACAGATCAAGACATTGGCAGGATTATTGTAAAAACCTGTTGTTTTAAATATATATGTGAGATATACAGTGGTACTGAGGCATCTGATCAAGGCCTGTATTTTAAAATGAGCTTAAAGATATATTTGCAAATGTTTGTATGTTTCATGCCAGTCAGAAACCAGCTGGCTAAGTACTTTGGCAGTTGTTTATCTTCCTGCTCTCTTGAACAAGGGCCCCCCTGATTTATAGCAGTAACAGGAGACAAGTTTCTCAAAGTTGTAAAAGGGAATTACAGGCTGGGAGCAAATGTTACACTGACCCTACATATTATAGAATACAATCAAGCTGCAAAAACACTAATTAAGAGTTGGTAAATAGTAAGATTTATTGTTTAACAGAAAATAATACCATGTGCCTCCCATCAGACTCTAGCAATATTTTCCTAAGGTTTAAGGTATATTGAGAGAGTTAAAGGGCAATAAATTTTGGTAAGAGCTAATGGAAAAAGCAGCTGGCTGGAAAAGGGGGGTGTAAACTGAAGAGGCTTCTTTTGAAGCTGTTTTTACTGAGTCCCTTTTTACTTTGCAAAGGCCTTTTCTTCTAAAAAAGCTATCTATGTTATGTATGAGATTTGTTGCCTTAATGTAACAATGCAAAGGATTTAGAAAGTAAGAACTGTTAGATTCTTATGTTAGATTCTTATTTCACTGATGGTGTGTGAGATGTGAACCCAAGATCTCTGTTTAGATAGAATTTAATACCATGAGCCATTTGTTTTAGCCATTTGTTTTGGAATGCAGGGGCAGCAGGGGCAAAAGGTGATCTGGTAATCATTTATTTGTCTGACAAATAAATTATTATTTTAATTTCTCTATTGCTGCGTTGAATATTTCATTCCAGCTAAGCGTTAACCACGAGCAGGGTGCTACAGTACCTCGGGTTATGAACAACCTAGTTAACACAGTTTTTGGATTATGAACACTTCAAACCTGGAAATGCGTGTTCCGGTTTGCATACATTTTTTGGATTGTGAACGTACTCCGTTTGGGGGTGCACTTTCGCTTTGTCAGTATGGCCTTCCCTTGCTCAGCATGGTGGAGGGCTTTGTGCCTAGTGCCCCCACCCCCACAAATTCGGGGGTGGTATAGGGCACAGCAGGCAAGGGCAGTCCCCCCCCACCGTCCTGGGGGGGTAGGGAGGCTAATTACTCCCATCATAGCCTCCAAATTACCTCGTGTGGGTTGGAGAGATGTTATTGTCAGCCATCTTCCGATGCGCCCCCTAGTGGCCCCCCGGTTTGCATATATTTTTTGGATTGTGAACGTACTCCGTTTGGGGGTGCACTTTCGCTTTGTCAGTATGGCCTTCCCTTGCTCAGCATGGTGGCGGCGGTGGCAGAGGGACCCAGAGCCGGGGAGCAGCAGTGGCGTCCCTTGCCTACTCGGCATGGCCTTCTCACAATCTCCCTCGTTTTGCTCTGCTGACGGCTTCGTCCCTTTAACTGCCATGCCTTCTTTTCCTCCCTCCCTCCCTCTGACGCCACTGGATATTTCTGCCTTAGGACGAGGGGACAGGAACTTGGCGAGACCCGAGTGGTTTGCTCTTTTCTTTCCAGTCTCTGGGTTGGAGAGGTTATGTGGCTCTGTCCTGTTTCTGGCTCCATCGAAGCCTCTGGACGATCACAAGTAGGGGCCCTGAAACAAAAGCCAGGAGCCTTTAAGTTCTTCATTTATTTGCTAGTTAAGTTTGTATGCTGTCACTGCAGCATCAAGGTCCCCCTTCTCCACTTCAGGGTGACGCTGCTGCGGCTGGAAGTGACGTCCCTTTCCTGCTCAGCACAGCCTTCTGTCACTTATAAATTATTTCTCAATATTCTTTTACCCTTTTACAAGTCCACCACATGTGATAAAACGTACCCTCAGCCTCATTGCATCTCCAGCACTTATTTGATTCAGACTTATACATTTTGGCAAGTCCACTCAGAGTTAAATACCATCTGTAGATCATTTTCATATAGTTCTCCTTCAAAGAATTAAATGCTGTGAACTTCAAATCACTCTTTCAAAGTTTTTCACAGAGATTCAGATCTATATTATGTCATATATCTATTGCCGACCCTCGACTCAGGTCCTGGACCTCGCCCCACTGTAACCTCCCCCCGGGATCAGCACATATGTGCTACTTTTTCCTTTTCGTTTTATTGTTTAGTCCATTTACATTCCATAAAAGAATTCTAAGATCCATTTTCAGTTATATCTTATTTACCCTTCTACTCCCCCTTTACTGTCTGCCCTCTTCTTCCCTCACCACTTCCTCTTCCACTTCTTCCTGCCTAGATCCCAAAACTTCACCAAAGTCTTTTTTGTACCTTCTTACAAAGCCATGTGCCCTCACTGGTTCCACAAATCTCTGTTTTTTGCCTTTATAGGTGAAGTAGACCCCCCCCCCATCCCTCTCTAAAGCGGATAGTTTTTTTTCTTTTTAAGGGCCTCTGTCAAAAATTTATAGACTTTTCTCTTCTTCAGAAGACAGACAGGAACCTCTTTTTAAAATTATAATTCTTTCTTTATCTATTTCAAGACCTTTCTCATAATGTTTCTTAATCAAACAAGAAAAGTTTTACTTCCAGAAAGAAGTTCGTGAAACAAAATTAGGTCTGGAGATGCATTCTTTTAGGTACAATTTGGAATATTGGCATAAATTATGGGGCACTCCTGAAATGGCATATGATAAAGGGCTGCAACTAATCAGCTGCTGAATGGACTTGGCTTGAGCCATGAAGGTATTTTAATGATTTTCAACTAGCGCGAAGAGACTTACAATAGCCAGAATGAAAGGGGAGGAAAGGCAATATTTGTTCTGAAAGGTCTCCTAAAGCTCCTAAAAGGTCTTTTCCTCTTTCGACCTTCACCGCAAAATGAAAGAATCATGTACAGACGTTTAGATGTTATCTGTTATAGAGGAAGAGAGAGAAGCCAATGATTTATAGTCAAAGGGCTTTACAATGTTTTTTATACCCTTGCTTGTTGACTGCAGTTGAACGGATTTTATATTAATTTTCTTTGAGCTGTATGAAGAAAGAAGTGGAGAAGAGAATTAATTTGCCAAGGACTCTTAATTACACTTGCCAGGAGTTTATAAATGTGATTCTGATCTTTAACTGCGAGCTGCGGAAAATAACCATCTTATCAGAAGTTATTTATAACTCAGCACGTCCTTGGACAACGGAAGGGGTGTTTCCATAGAAATGGCATGGACTGAGAAAGATGGCAATTAATCTATCTCCACTCTAGGTCTGCAAACAGACTGCTGAAAAGGCTCAACATGCAAAATGGCTATTCAATGTGTTTGGAAAATAACTGCTGTTGTTTGGAAAATAACTGCTGCTGTTTATAAGAAAACAAGGCGGCTAGCTACGAAAATGGATTAAGACTAACAGACGAATAAGGGGGTGATTAAAGAAGAAGAATGAATGTGGCAGCATCAGAAAGCAATCAACATATGTTTGTGAAAGGAGCGGGAAACCTTTTTTATTTTTAAAAAAGTGTATTAATTTTTTAAAAATAATATTTTATTAAGTTTCCATTTCATTATATATAAATACATCTATATTACGCACATTAAGTTTTCTCATATGAGCTGGTCAACTTCCCTCCCTCCCGCCTTGTGGTTACCATAATTCCTATCTATTTCACTGCATTTGTACCTCTTCCTCCTTACATTTTATCCATTTCAATTTTTACATTTTAAATAAATATAAAAAGGTATCAATCATAAACATTGCAAGTCTTCTTATTTGAAGGACAATTGCAAAGAATTAATAACATTAGCAGGCAAAGTGTATTAAATTTAAATAATTTGGACTGATTTGTTAAAATTCAGGAAACTAATTAAAAAAAATAATATAAAAAAGAAAGATGTGATTTGACCACTTCTGAAAATTTCCAACCTGAACTCATAGGTTTATCATTTCTACTACCTCGTTGCTAAAACCGGTTGTTTGGGAAGTGCAGATGATGGAGATGTTTGTGGCAAAACAATTACACTCTTAGGTCATCTATGATTCTATGACTTAATAGTGTTTCCTTCTTTTTATAT